TAAGATAGGTATAAAAAAAATTATTTCTTTCTTTAACAGGGACAATAAAGCTTAACAAACATCAGTATCTATAATGCAAATGTCTCAAATTTAGCCAAATGGCTACTTTTCTCACCAGTCTGTCCGTTTATACACAACATGACAGCATCATCTTTACCCTGTCCATTGATGTGAAAGAAAGCAGATATTATTTGGATGGTGGTTTATTCTCACTGACACCAAGGCAAGGTCCATTCTGGATTGAACCCTTTCTCGAATTACTCTGGCGTACCAGTGGAAATCGACTTACTAGATTTATTTCAGTGTTTTTTTGGGGGGGGGGGGGTTTTGGTTTTTTTTTTTAAAAAGTACTATTTTATTGGCACACATCTGTTATAAGACTAGTTAGGACACTGTTGGGTTTCTGTGTATAGAGTATCATGACTCTGAGTTTAGCTGCTGCTGAGCAGGGTGATAGAAAAACACTGTATACAACTGCTACAACATTTAAACTCTGGACCTGAATCCGCACGATTTTATAGAAATTTCGCGGCCGCCACATGATTGGTTGATCGGATAATTTCATGAGCAGGTGTACGGATAATAATGTGACCAGTGAGTGTAGACATACCTGGAAAGCATCTAAATATAATACAAGTGAAGACCCCAAGGACAAATGACACAAGACGAGCAAGGCAGGTGATTTCCTGGGAAGTACGGGAAGCTCTAATGGGAAAAGTACATCAACAACAAGGTCTAAGAATTCCATACATTCAACACGTGTTCCCCATATTAAATTGTTTGGGGTTTTTTAATCTAAAACAGATGCATGATTGAATATCGGGAATCTGCCAGCCTTTTTTGAGACAGCTGTATCATGTGTATTTCGGGAATTTAAATGCAAAAGATGGATGCATTTCACAATTGCATCTACAACGCATCTCAGATTCAGGGAGTGGATTTAAACCTGATTGGAAAAAATGTCCTGAGTGCATTTACTTATACGTATATATACAGGAAGACAATCCTGATAAACACAACACACAAATCTTCCATAATAACTGTGCATAAAACACCGAATGTATGGACTAAAGAAAATAAAACAAGTAATAAAAATGCCAAAAGCTTAAAAAAAATTATTGTTATTGAATTTCAGATGTAGTTAGAGTAGTGAAATATATAAATGCTTTAAATGCCAAAATAGTTCGTTTTTGTTTTGGTTTTTTTCCATTCAATCCATACAACAGCAGCTCATCTGGGAGAGATGCAACAAACCTGGCAACCCTCAGATTCTGTTAATAATCAAAGGGGAACCAGATTGAACAATTTCAACTCAAGAAGTGTTTTTTTTCTTAATAACAAAAATTCAATGTTATAAAAAATATATATAAAATGAACATTAAATATTTTTAAATTAAATGTATTAATAAATGTGTTAACGTCTAATTATATAATTAATTAAATAAGATGTTTATAATAATGTTTGATATAAGACCTCAATATTATTGGGTTGAACAGAAATCCATAAGGATTTTATGAGTTTATGTTTTACAATGCTCCACGAAAGATTTGAAAATCCTACTCGAGGTATCTTTTGATGATCTGGCAACCGGGGAGATGTTGAGGAGCAGTCAGGACCAGGACAGTGTGATACCTCCTGCACCATCAGCATGCCACATCCATGTGCGCATGTGACAGGATTACTGATATCAAATCACTCGTTTCTGCATGATATGAAAGGTAAGAAACTAAAAGACGTGATGACTTTAACATCTTGTTCCAATAATGTTTTATTCCTCTGCCATGTGCATGCAAGGCTTAAAAATACATTTAAAACTATCTAAACTCTTAATATTATTTTTGGAATTGCAATTAGTGCAACTGTTACTTTAAGAAGGAGAACACACATTTATTTAATTTATTTAATTATTTAACCTTTAACTTTAAAATATATAATATTACTATATTATTACTGTATATATATACAGTAATATTATATATTTTAAAGTTAAAGGTTGCAAAATCAGACCAACATTGGGATTGTTTCTGTAAAAAAAAAAAAAAAAGTTTAATCCAATCTTATTAGAAAACGTACACTGTTGAGATATTTATATAATTTTTAGTGCTGTTCATTTCTCTAGTTAACTTTTCTGGAAGGAGTCTCCAGTGTCAGTGCTTTGTAGCTAAAAATGTAGTTTTTCATGACAGAGGAGTCTACGCTTTGCGCTTTCTAGGTAAAATGACAAACTGTGGGGTTTTTTTTACATGAAGATAGGGGGAAAAAAAGAGAGAATGGTGCGTGAACAACTGTTTATAGCTGTAAACTAAGTTGTAAATGGATAAATGGATAAAAAGTACAATGTGTTCTTTGTTAATAAATAAAGATTGTAATTGTTGATAAATTTCTGTGGTATGTGATGGTGGTAATAGTAACTCCTCTTCATCACACCACCCCATCATTGATTAGAACCACATGACATGGACGTGTTTTATTCCGTATTTATCTAGAAAAAGGTTTTAAAACTGGACTTGGACATGGGACGTGGTCCAAAGTATGGTCTAAAGTTGAAATTGTACATTAGAGTGATTAGTGATTCAGATGATCATGTGGTTTACATTTGGACATATTTGTATATTTATTTCATTTTATTCTGCTACTTTATGAAAGTAATGATTTTAGACATGAAAATATTCACAATGCTAAACTGGGAGCTTTTCAGCTCCCGTCCTGAGCTACGTGGTTCCAGTACGAAACCTTTGGGATAACGGAGAATTGGTGTAATTTTTGGTCAGTCTATTCCTTTAACCCATTCTCACGCTTTCGTTTCTAGGCTAAACATGAAGGCTAAGCCGTGGAGCGTGACGCTGCTGTGCTTCGCGTTGTTATTCCTGTCACACGACGTCCAAAGTCAGAACAGAAGAAACCAAACGAACGACCTGACCACAAAGGACCGAAAGGGTAAATCGAAGTCGTGTTTTGTGTATTTTCTCATTTTATAGATTTCCCAGTCTGTGCGAAACCTGCTGTTGGAAACAGATGTTACAATGATTAGCACCCACGCATGTTCTTCCCATTCGTAAGCTTTGGACTGAATTTTTATGTCTTCCATGAGCAGTGCTGGTGTGTGCGCTGGAGTTGGCCTTCCTCCTGGACAGCTCAGAGAGCGCCATGTCGTACGGCTTTGAGAAAGAGAAGGACTTTGTGCACTCGTTTGGTACCAGGGTGCTGAAGATGCAGGTTGCCGATTGGCACCTGATGCCCCGCCTCGCTGCTCTGCAGTACAGCAGCTCTGTGTCCATCGTGCAGAGCTTCTCCGACTGGCGTGGACTGGACGACTTCCTGACCAGCGTCGGCTCCATGGCGTACATCGGACAGGGCACGTACTCATCCTACGCCATCGGGAACGCCACCGAGCTCTTCGTACGTGAGACTGACGACAAGAACGTCAGGGTGATGCTCCTGATGACTGACGGCTCCGACCATCCACGGAGTCCCGACATCCTGGCTGCGACCTCTGAGGCCAAAGGTCACAACATCAAGCTCTTCACCATCAGCTTGTCATCACAGGGCAGCCAAAACAGCGCCAAGCTGCGAGTCATGGCTAGCAGTCCGGCGCAGCAGTTCGTGCACAACCTCAACGATCCAGACCTCGAGGAGAGACTGCTTCAGGAGCTCGTAAGCTAAATACTGCTGATGTGCATTGCTAATGATCCCCGTGGTGTGCGCTTATAGGCAAATAATCATTAACAGGATATCGTAACGCAGCCGATGCAAAGCAGAGCACCGCATGTTGATTATTTTCCAATTAAAGCGCGTCCTGAAGTGATTTATTTCTCTTAAACCACAGCAACTCTCGACGTTCTGTGAAACAAGCTGCTTCCTATTATCACTTACGTTACAGGCGGTTTATATCATCTACAATGCAAGTAACGTGGAATTACCATAAGTAATCATAAGAATTGGGACTATAAACATCATTGTATTATATTATATTATATATTATATTAGATATTAGCACCAAAACAAAACAAAACAGAAAATCTAAGCATTCTAAGTATCATCTGTACACCAGCTTCCACGTCCATAAGCGTCGCACATTAAAGGTCAAGTCTGAACCCACAATAGAGTGGATTGTGCTGTGTTTGGGATGATTAACGATTGCAATGGGAAAATGTCATTCGCTAATATAAGAGAGCCTCAACACGACACAACTGATACCACAAACATCACAATATAAACACCATGAAGCTTTAAAACCTGAACTGCGGATATAATCCAGCGGATATAATCCAGTATGTGGGATGTGGAATGTTCGGGAAGCTGTGTGAATACTTACTACGTTAGGGATGCAAAAGATTATGAATACATCCATTTTCCGTAACGCTTTTCCTATGAGGGGTCGCCGGGGAGCCTGGAGCCGTTCCCAAGGGACTCGGGGCACGAGACAGGGTCCCAATACATTTCAGGGCACAATCGCACACACATTCATACACCATGGGCAATTTGGAAATTCCTACATCCTACAGCGCATGTCTTCAGAGTAGCGGAAACCCCCGAAGCATGGGACTGGGAAAACATGGAAACTCCGCACACACTGGGTGGAGTCGGGGTTCAAATCCCCGACCCCGGAGGTGTGAGGCAAACATGCTAATCACTGAGCCACTGTGTCCCTCCTCACACCTAAAATACACAACAAAACAACGTATCAATTAAAAAAAAAAAAAAAAATATATATATATATATATATATATATCCATCCATCCATCTTCAACCGCTTATTCCTGCCTCAGGGTCACGGGGAACCTGGAGCCCATCCCAGGAAGCATCGGGCACAAGGCGGGGTACACCCTGGACAGGGTGCCAGTCCATCACAGGGCACAATCACATACACACTCACACACCCATTCATACACTACGGACAATTTACCAAGCTGCCAATCAACCTACCATGCATGTCTTTGGACTGGGGGAGGAAACCGGAGTACCCGGAGGAAACCCCCGCAGCACGGGGAGAACATGCAAACTCCGCGGGGAATCGAACCCCGGACCCTGGAGGTGTGAGGCGAACGTGCTAATCACTGAGCCACTGTGTCCCTCCTCACACCTAAAATACACAACAAAACAACGTATCAATTAAAAAAAAAAAATATATATATATATATATATATATGAATATATACAAGTGAATATATATGTGAATATATATATATATATATAACAAGTGAATATATATATATATATATATATATATATATATATAATAATAACAAGTCATTACTATATATATAATAATAACAAGTCGTTACTAGAATAACAAGTGATATATATATATATATATATATATATATATATATATATATATATATATATATATATATATATATATATATATATATATTCACTTGTACATTCATTGTGTGTGTGTGTGTGTGTGTGTGTTTCCAGCAAAAGACATAATTATTAAAGGAAAATATTCCAGCGAAGCTTTCCTAAAGTTATTATACATTGGTGCACGAAGGCCTCCATTTTGGCTAGCAGCATCGCTAGCAGCATCGCTGCGTCCCCAGATTTTTCAGGACTTTTGCTGTCAGAAAGGTCCACATGGCACCTTCCTGTCCAGACCACGCCCACGTTCAGTTGAAATCCAAATACACATAGGCATATTTGAGCACTGGGTTAACAGATACAGGGATTGTGTTACACCCTTACTACACCTCTATGCTAAAAACGTGCTTCAGAAACATTTATGAAATATATTCTAATCTCTCCTTGTATTCTTTTCTTTTTGCAGAAAAAAGTGGTCAGTTTAGAAGTAAGTGTCTGAGTTCCATCAGTTCATGAAGCTGTGCATCTCACACACACACACACACACACACACACACACACACACACACACACTGGTGTTTTACTGACCGGGTTTTGTGTTTCAGTGTCCACGAGTGCAAGCGTGTGTGTGTGAGAAAGGAGAGAGAGGAGCTCCGGGAACCCCTGTGAGTGAAAAACCCACCATACTGAAGTAATGACTTGTGGGGGTTTATAGGGAGTGATGTGCATGAGTGAAGAACTTCGTCGTGTTTGTTTCAGGGGAAGAAAGGAGATGCGGGGATTAAAGGACTGCCAGGGACTAAAGGTGTAAAGGTGAACTGGAAAAACAACTCTGGCTGTAATCTAACAGTTCGTTAGGAAAATACACACAAATAAGAATGTGTACACACACACACACACACACACACACACACACACACACACACACATCATGTACTGTATTGTACGTCATTTTCATTACTGACCACATCAACTGGAGTGAGGTATTTCTCTCTATACACAAACACACACACACACAGATATACATGCTTGTACACCAACACACACTTGTACACACATCCACACATGCAAGAACGAACTGTTTTGAACATCATTACCTGGACACACACACACACACACATTTCTAAGACAGTTCTGTTTGTAAGAGCCAATCCCAGTGTGAACGATCGTACTAACGGATAGTAACCACCCTCGGTCCCTCCTGTTTTACTTCACCGCAGGGAAACACCGGGCCTGCAGGACTACCGGGACCGGACGGGCCTGAGGTGAATCCTACAGAACTGCATTCGTCATTATAGATCTTGTACACTATCATACCCGTGTGTATCACTATTCATGTGTGTGTGTGTGTGTGTGTGTGCTTTCTCTAGGGACGACCCGGGTACAAAGGTAATAAGGTAAGAGTTATAACTAAATAGTATTAGACAAAAAACCACAACTTGTCATGTTATAGAGAAACCTCAAAGTGTAAACGCCTGTGAAGATGTCGGAAAATTTAAAGTTACAGCTTTACGTCTAACTGTTACAACGCACTGGCACTGGAGACTCCTTCCTTACATGTTAAGTAAACCTCTCATTACAGAACATTTCACCATAGCAATGATTACACAGTTTTTTGGGGTTTTTTTATCTGTTTACGTGGCGCGTCCATCATACAAGTCCCTCATACAAGTGTGAGCGGTTACTATAGAAACGGTAATGTATTAGAACAAGCGAATTAACTCGAATTTGCATTACAGTGCCACTTCTGTTCACTACTATAGAATATTAATGAACAACTTCTGACCAATCAGAATCCAGAATTCAACAGCACCGTGGTATAAATGTTATTTCACGCCATCCCCTTTATAAATATGATCAAAAAACCCCCGGCGACAACAACGACATTGGATTGTACTCTCATCATATTGGTCTGAAATAATCGGCAAGTGTAAATAAGATTGACTTTGTCCTCATTATGACGTTGAAATTCTCCAAACACACCATTTCCACTTACTGTGTGTGATCAGTGAAGCTGTACGTGTCTTCTAGGGTGACAGAGGAGAATGTGGACCTCCTGGATCAAGAGGAGACATGGTATGTGTTCCTAAACTACATCAAAGACCTTTATTGAGGATGGTTATATATTCGATTGGAGTACCGTGGTGATATATTGTACTTCTCAGGGTGTTGAAGGACCTCCAGGACCGAGAGGAGTCCGAGGAGAGCAGGTAAAAATCATATAAACATCATTTAGAACCATGATCCTCTCTCTGTCTGCAGTTTTTCCATCCCTTTAAATGGAGATTTGTAGTTTTAAAAAGACATTTATTATAGCTATTATACGCTCAGTAGTAAATGAAGCCATTGGAGAAATAACGGCGCTCGTCCTCCAACCTGCACTTATGGAATGTGAGCAGAGGATCACTCGTAATCCTGTACCAATGAGCATGTTAACACGGTGAACGCAGATATATGGGATATTTTTTTTTAGACTTTGTTCGCTGGGATTAAAGTGAGGACGGAGAAATGTAGACATGTCTGGCTTTGCGCATGGAGGGAGGACCAACGTTATCACAGCCTACAGAACGGTCCAAACATCGGAGACCTCATTGAGCATGACTCGATTTGGCTTCATTTACAGTACGTTATGCTGAGTAATACATCAGTCGATTCTCTATATACCATATTATCTACTACAATTATAGATTATACTAACGTCAGTATTATAGATCACACTGAAGTCTCTGTTACCATCCCAAAGTTGAGTCATTTCCAATAACAGCACGACCCGAAATGTTTTATTCCTCTTACACCACAGCCCATTTTTGTTTGACATATTATTACTATGTATGTTTGATTATTAAATGTCTAAATTCACTTACGTTTAAGCCGCTATAAACAGTCATCCCATCACCAGAGTCTCTCTCTCTCTCTCTCTCTCTCTCTCGCTCTCTGAAAAAAAACCTCAGCTTGCCATGTTACCAAGAAACCGTAAAAAAAAGGAGAAATCTTCTGTCGTGAAGATGTCAGATATATGTATATATATATATATATATAAACCAATCAGCCATAACATTAAACCAATGACAGATGATTATCTTGCTACAGTGGAACTTGTGAAGGGGTGGGATATATTTATTGCGCAGCAAGTGAACAGTCACTTCTCGAAGTCAATGTGTTGGAAGCAGGAAAAATGGGCACGTGTTAGGATCTGAGAGACTTCGACAAACGCCAAATTGCGATGGCTAGACGTCTGGGTCAGAACATCGCTAAAACGGCAGGTACCTACCAAAAAGTGGTGCAATGAAGGAGAACCGGTGAACCAGTGACCAGGGTCACGGGCGCCCAAGGTTCGTCGATGTACGTGTGGAGCGAAGGCTAATCAGTCTGGTCCGATCCCACAGCTACTAAAAAAGTTCATGTTGGCGATGATAGAAAGGAGCCAGAACACACAGTCCATCACAGCCTGCTGCGGATGGGGCTGCGTAGCGCCCATGCTGACCCTTGTCCACTGCTGAAAGCATCTACAACGAACAAGTAAGCATCAGAACTGGACCATGGAGCAATGGAAGAAGGTGGCCTGGTCTGATGAATGACGTTTTCTTTTACGTCATTTGGATGGCCGGGTGTGTGTACGTCACTTACCTGGGGAAGATGATGCACTACGGGAAGGAGGCGAGCTGGCGGAGGAAGTGTGACGTTCCGGGGAATGTTCTGCTGGGAAACCTTGCATCCTGGCATTCATGTGGTTGTTACTTTGACACATACAACCTACCTAAACATTGTTTCAGGTCAAATACACCCCTTCATGGCAACAGTATTCCCTAATCGAACTGGCCTCTTTCCGCAAGATAATGCATCTATATATGTAATAAATAGCAGTAGCAGTTGTCAATGATCATGAACTACAATGTTAGCTGTTTGCCTCAGTGCTTTTTGTCTATCTCTTATTCAGGGCCCCCAAGGGCCAGCAGGGGACGAAGGCCCTGAAGGACAGGAAGGCCCCAAAGTAAGAACAGCTTACTGAAATTCTTTGGCAGAAAAGAGAATGATGTTTGTTGCCCAATGCGTAACACAGTCGAGTATTATTGCTTTTACACTGTTTTATCTGTGGATTATTTATAGCTGACATTTCGAGGGGGTTTCCGTACTAAAATAAAATTGCTGCGGGGGCTCACACGGTTCTACAAAGAGCGCTTTGAGGATATTCCATATCATATTCAGATCCGAGTGTGAATGAAAGATAGCTTTATTCTCAGTAAAGGTCGACGGAGTACATTTTAATTTTGTAGGAGCCCGAGAATTCATGGCACCTGACCGATCAGACTTACAGCTATGCCATGTTAGAACATGACACAATGAGGGCAAAGTAGAAGAAAAAAAAATGTTTGTAAACGTATTTATGATGTCATTTATTTTATAATCTATTTTTTTGAAACAGACGACTCGGCGATAAATATTCCGAAAATCAGCCGATAAGTGTCCAGCGTAGGTGGGAACTCCTTTAATACTGTTTAAAAAAAAAAAACATCTCAGGGAAATTCCTCAAGAAATCGGTCGAGAAAAAAACCGCCAAGAATACATTTCTGGAAATTCTCGATGAAAAAGGTCGTCTACTTTGGAGATGCTAAAACATTTAATTATTATTATTATTTTTTAGCACAACATAAGTTCCCATAGTTCCATTTGTGTTATTCCTGAGTTTTTATGACTTTATTATCATTCTAAAATGTGGAAAATGAAAATACTAAAGAATGAGTGTGTCTAAACTTTTGACAGGAAGTGT